ACTTCATCCTTCCTTTTATATCGAAGCCAGGAGTCTTCACTCGTATTCATCATTCTATTGCTTGTTTGCGACTTCCCTCACCTTGATTTTTTCAACCGTTAATTCCAGCTAATATGGTTGAAACTTCGGATGATATCTTTTAACCACTTGTTTTTGTACAATCTACTGCTCTCTCGAAAAGAACAATCCTTCATTCTTTTGTTTCATTTTGGAACACTGATATATAGGTTGCGGCAGATCCCAGCAATCAAATTGCAATTGTCAGAAATTTTAACGCTCACAAGAAAGATTGGCTGTTACACTCTTCAGATAGTTGGATTCTGGGCTGAAGGCCTGAGGCTTGTATTGTGGTCAGCAATTTGTTTCAACCAGTTAACCAACCCGCGCACTCTTGATCATCCGCATATTCTCTCAACCTTATTTTCATATCCATTCCCTCCGTATTGTTTAGCATCACTTCTCTCTCCCCTTTTCACTCATCGCTTTATTTCATCCTTGACTCCTTTTCCTTACCGAGTTCCACCGCCGAACTCCGAACACAGTTTTTCTGATAAGACTGAGTCAACTGAGCTAATTTTCGAAACTTTGCGGCTCGTTCTCTCTAGACTGATTTGCTTCAATTCCGACACTCCTGCTTCTGTTTCCAACTTCGTTGAGCCATGCAAATTTTTATTTCATAAATTCAAACCCGGTAAACAAATATCTCGAATATTTTAAAACTATGCTTGTAACCGTACTGTACGTTTGAAAAAGAATCAGCATTGCGTCGCTGGTGCGGCTGACCTAACGCAAAATCCCTCCATCATTGCGTGCAATCCTGGAATAAATGCTCACACACCACACATAGGGATAAGGATCACTTCATTCGCCGCAAGGTGATGTGCCCGGCCTCGCACGCCACCGGTTGCCAAGCCTTCAGGTCAATACCAAATCTGTTTCCAGCAATTTCTACCCTGCCAGCTTTCCTCCCGTTTGCTATTCCTCTGGCTCTCTGTTTTATAAACCCCGGCAAAAGATAGATGTTTTCACCCCGTTTTTCTCCAATTTCATTTCATCTACTCATTCCGTTTTTTATTCCTTATCCCATCCGTCCTGGCGCTCTTGTCTACATCACATAACCTGAAAAGGTTCGCCAAACTACGTGGTGTGGATGTTTGGAAACCATTCTGTCCTGACCGTACTTTACCCATCGTTCTTAAAATGTGTGTCCCTGAGTTAGCTCCTATTATGCACTGTTTATTCAGTTGTTCTAATAATCACAATTCCAGTCAACGGGAAAATGCCATATTTTTCCTATCTCAAAGGGTGCCGACTCTTCCGATCCCAATAACTGTCACCCCATCATCATCGCCTCTGTAATTGCGGAAAATCTTGAAACCATTATCTCCAATCGGTGTTTTGGAACCGGTTTTCGCAATGACCATCAAAATGGATTTCGCCTTCGTCATACCATACACGACCTACTGATCTCGTCTAGCATTCCCGTTCATCTGCACTAGGTGCTCTCGGGAAAATGTATTTGTTCTCGCTCGACATTCAAAGCCCTACGCTCACACTTGCTATTCGTGTAGTTTCTTTTACTTTTTATTTTTACTTCCTTTTATTGAATATGCTAACATACAACTTTCTGGAACGGGGAAGGGGACAGTCAAAGGACTAACAACAAAACGGTCCTCCGGGGTGATAATTTGGTGACGTTACAACCGCGCCACTACTGCCCTATGCGACCTGTTATCCAGAACCATCCACCCCATTCATTCTTTCGCCAATGATGACACCACATTATCTTTCTTACCCCACGACTCGCCAGGACATCATCACCATCGATCATAATTGCAATGTCTTCAGTGCATCGGTTGCCTCCTATCTTGAAATCTCTTCAGCATAGAGTTCTACGAACTGTGATCGTCTTATTGCTTCCTAAACTTCTCATCTTTCAGTCTCTCCTGATGTAATCACGATGAAACTACGCCTTGACGTGGTGTGATGGCTTGCCTACCTTCATGATCGCGCGAGCTGTATGAAATGGCTTCTCACAGCCGCAGGTGCAATTGTGCCTGAAAGATCAATGGGTAGAGGTCAGAGAAAGCTCAGTTCCACAAAGCCAGCTGATTGGGTACCTCGTGGCTGCGTTCGACCATCCGCTCTCGCCCCTGAAGGGGGCACTTCAGCAAATAAACACGATGAGGGTCAGTTTACCAGTCAACCCTCCTGCTAGATGGGCATAGGAGCTGGGTAACTGGAGCTTCCGACGGTAGGAGTCTTCACACCTCANGCTGGACAGCCCCCAACCAATAAATTGCTGTCCCATCCACGTTCCACTTGTCTCGCTGGCTGCATGAGAATAAGGGTCGATCTTAAAGGATGGGCCGTCAAATAACGCACCAGCGAACAAAATTCTGAACCGAATTCCGAAGGCCATGGTTGACGGGCCTCTAGAAACTCACATACGGATGCTGCGCTCAAAGTTCCGCGTTTAATTCACGCTCCATTGCCTTTGGAGCCATACGAATGCTCCGGCCAGGGTTTTCAAAGAAAAAAATCGTCGCTATGGCCTCCCGCGAAGTTTGTGGTGCTCTGAAGTCACAGGCACCCATTTGGAAAACCTNNGGACGAGATGTCTTTTGTTTACGCCATCCATGGGATATCACTCAGCGTTTAACTAGGGAAGTCCATGAGTAAAAATTGATGAAGCAAAATTTCTATGCCGATTAGCCACGTTCAACGTCCACACACTACCAGATCGGCCAACAAGCTGCCTTAGAACCATTGAAACTTTCAATTTAGATGTGTGTTGTGTCTCAGAAGCATGCATATGTAATCCCAACCAACGTAGGTCGTCTACTTCAACTTCGCGCAGACTATGGACTCTTCCTATCAAGCGCAAATTTCTCCCACATGAAATCACACCTCATACGGAAACCTTATTCCTTCTCACAGCGATTTACTCAAGTTGACCCCATCGACATCATCTCCTGCTGGCGGGGATCCATTCAAGACTGCTGCTCTTACTGGTCAACACCTGTGGNGATCATGCTCTGTTGCACTCCAAATTCTCCATACGCCTGATACACAATCGCAACACAGCCGCCGGAAACGGATACAACACAACACAGTGTAAGCGTTAGCTGCGAACCAGCCCGTGGAGTAGAGCCCGTTCATCGCCTCAGCTCAATCAACCACCGTTTGACTCAATGAACACTAGACGTTAACCAAGGACGCTATCCAAATGTTGATCAAAATAGCGGTGGATTCTGGAGCACGATCGAAGTTGCATGCTTTTCTAAGTGATTTATGTGCTAGTGTAGCCATGTTTGGTATGCGTTTTGCGTCTTCAGTGTGTAAAGTGTTTGTATCAGAGTGGATTAGCCCACCTAACAACCTCGTTCTTACTGATAAACCAGTAGAGGAAGTAGACACGTTTTTCTGTTTGGTCAGCTATAATCACTCGGTGGACCATCACAGATGAAATTTTGACACGCATACGGAATACTAGGCGTGTATCAACTTCAGACATCGATGTCACTGTTGCGATATCCTGCTTGTTGCCCGGTCGAGTGTATGCTGCAGCAGTTCGGTCAATGAAGCCTTACTGTACAGATGCTTGGCCATTAATGAAATAGGATAAAGATCAACTATCGGTGTTTGAGCACACGCTGTTTACGAGGCCTTACACGAGTCTGGTGGGAAAACCGGACAATCAATGCCCAAGTTAAGCAGAATTTTATATATTTGCGGTCCCTCACTGGAGCTGGTTGTTGACCTCCATAGATTACGTTGGATGGGGTATTCGTACGCATGTCAGCACATTTTATTAGTTCAGTATAGAATTGGCAAAATTGCCACAAAAAGTCTGCAGAATGTGTTTATAGGTTGCGTGGGCATGTTACTTTCCGGTTGACCTGATTGAGGAAGGTTTCAGTTTCAGTTTGAACAACCACAAACCATGCACTATCGTGCGCCGGTTTTGGTTGCTGTCTTTTGGCTGCCCATTTGGATGAATAATAGGAGAAGACAGGAAAGGTGAAGGTAGAGTTGAACATAAAATGGAGAAATTCAGTGATCTAAGATTG